CTTTTCTTGAATATTTTAATAATGAAGGAAAGCTGGAGTGGTTAGAACAGCAATAAAAGTTATGCAAATTAAATATAATGCCTGAAATTTTAAATAAATATGGTTGAGCCTTTTTAACTTATTTTAATGAATTCAACGTTTTTCAGCATTTCGGCTACGAATCGTGAAAATATAACTTACCGACGGTTCGTCCCTCAACGAGGCGTTATCAGTGTTTATATTATTGTCTGTATCGTATCTCTATTGGAAAAATTACAAATTACTCTTAGAAAACTTTATGTCACAAAATCTTACCGTTTGTGGCCTGTTTTCATCATTTAATCTATCCTGCATCTCCCTTATTTCTACGTTTGGACGTAGAAACTGGAGCAGCTCGTAACACCACATTTTGGGTGTTTTCACATCTGCTGCGCCGCATCCACTCCGTTTACTGGCTTCAATTGCCCTCACTTCTCTCCGAAATTGTGAGCGCAGTCCTTGAATTTTTTCCCTAATGTTTTTTGGGGTCACAAGGGGATCTTTCGTCACCAAAACGTCGTGAATTCCATTTATTGCCGCATTTCGCTTATCCCTGTCACTATAATGGCAATGCTTTGTGTTCCAAAGACACTCTCGGGCCTGGAGAAGATTTATTAATTCTTCCGTTAACGCTCGGCTCCAGGAGATAGACATTTCTATAATTATAAAAATTAATTGACCCACTTTAGATTTTCACAAATTTCTTTGCTTAGTCATTTTCTAACGACACACAAATAAGTAATAATGTTTTTGTAATACAAATACTCACTTTAATAACTTTTATATTCGCGCGGATATTAAATATCTTTATATCGAAAATTTTGCGTTAGCAGTACATATACTCAGCGCGTTTTCTTCTGGAATAAACATGTTTTGTGTATAACTGCAACATCTACCATATCGGTATGGCAATACTGTATTTTCCAGCAAATTTTTGTGTATGGCAACACTTATTTTTCATCTGTTTGGCCCAACAAATTTAGTTTGCTGTGAGAGTCACCAAACTCTCTCTCTCCGAGTTTGCTGCAACAACAATTTCACGCAGTTTGCCAAACAAAATTTCTGCATAACACCGACCTAACAGACACTCACAATAGCATCGATAATCGATAATCGCTTAATAGTCGTTTATCTACTGCCAGTCGACACTCGCAATAGGGGTGGTAGTTTATCGCAGTTTCTTATGAACTCTTGGTAATCAAGCTGAATCCCGCTGACTGCGCCAATTAAGGTTTTTAGGAAATAAACTTTTGATTTTTATTTGGATTCAGGTAAACTTTAGTTTTATTTTCCCCAATTTTATCTTTCGTTGTCACGCTAGTTCTTTTTACAACTCCATACTAGTCATTCCTGTGTTTTATCGAAAACCTTACAATCGTTTTTCGATTACTTAAGCCTAGGTTACATACTTACATACAGATATGATTATGAGCTTAAGGTGCCTATGCATATGTTACGGTTGGTCTACGTCATAACCGAACCATTATTTTGGTAATAAATTTGCACGATTTGCAAACGTTGTTCCGGAGTAAGTCTATTCATTACTAGGGATGCAAACGATGCATCGATATTTTTGAAACATCGATAATATCGGTTAAAAATTCGATGTTTACATTTTCCTAAAATCGCTAAATTGACGATACTTCGACGCCAGTTTCAGCGATGTTTTAACATCGAATTATGCTGCTAAAATTTTTTGACTGGCCATGAATTTTTATATTTTTTTCTTTTAAAAGGAACATTCAGAAATTCGTATCTTTCGATATTAAAAATGCATACTTAGTCATTAAAAAAGGACCGGAATCCCGTTGAAATTTCAATGAAATTGGGCCTTGGAACTTTAGGCTCAGCGAACTTACGACGGCATGCATTTCTATTCTATTTATAGGGAGGGAATGGTAAATAAATAAGGCAATAATTGAATTACAGAGAGTTGGAATTGAAAAGTATTAAATTTTCCTAACAAATCTCGAAACATCGGAAGCCATCGCTATATCGATGTTTTTCTGGCGATGTATTTTAGCATCGATGTTCATTTTTCCGATGCATCGAAACATCGATGTATCGATGTTACTCAAAATTTGCATCCCTATTCATTATGAAAAGGCAAACCAAACTGAGTATAAAACAAGTAACAGCTGTCAACAAGACCAACTCCGAAAAAAGTATTGCCTCATTGCCACACGTCTAAAAAAAACACCCTTTATTTACCAGAGAAAAGAGTATGTATTTAATATTATCCCTGCCAGCCAAAAGTGGTGAAAAATCTGGTGAAACTGCGGGTTTCGGTCACTTCAAAACTGGTGACAAAACTGGTTACATTTGTATGGGCGGTGTGCAGATTGTCACCACTTTCCCCCTGTACGTGTGAGCCCTGCATCACTGTCGCACTCATTCAGATACTTCCTAAGGAAAACATATAGCTGCACTCGTCTAGCATTGCCCCCTTCTGCCGGCTCAGGGTTGCATTCTCTTCACAGCGAATTCAAAATAACCTTAGAAACTTTAAATAAAAAATTCTAAAATGTTTTGATTTTTGTTTTGCAAAATTTATTTTCAAAATGCATAATATACATACTTAATAACCAATAGGGGGCAAGGCAAAGAATGTCTGGGGCCTTGCGACGTCTACTACAGCTGCCATGTAAAGGAGCGCAAATTCGGAGTTGGATTTGTGGTGGGAGAGAGACTCCGTCGCCGAGTACTGTCGTTCACCCCGGTGGACGAGCGTCTAGCCACAATCCGCATCAAAGCGAGATTCTTCAACATCTCGCTCATCTGCGCCCATGCCCCGACGGAAGAGAAGGATGAGGCATCCAAGGATCTCTTCTATGAGCGCTTGGAGCGCACGTACGAGCGCTGCCCCCGTCATGATATCAAAATCGTGCTTGGCGACTTCAATGCCAGGGTGGGCAA